CAGGAGTTGCAGCGATTTTGGGAAGATGTGGCGGGCTTGCACCAAAAAAAAAACCGCACCCAAGGCGGGCGAAGTCATTGAATGAAAAGTAGGTGTATCTTTTTTTACAGGCTTTTATTTCTATATTTCTGCCCAACCCTACGTCGAATACCAAGTACGTATGCACAAAAAAACCTAGAATAATCTTCGCCTTAAAATATGTAAAGTACTAGACTGCACAAAGAATGGCATGCCTAATTGTCTAGACTATTCTAATGCCTGCTGTCTGTCCGCAGGTTAGCGGCCTGCATCGCTGACGGAATCAGCTAGACAATGAATAATTTTGAGTTCTTTATTGGGTGTCTAGGTACTTAGGTATACATATATAGAATGGATAGAAGTATAGGTTATATAATAGTTGGCACATGGTTATTATCATGTACTTAATCTCGGATTTAATCTACGGACCATATAAAAAGGATATACTACATTAGGTTTTATATAAGTGATTATAAACTAATAACATAACATCACTTTTCCCCTAAGGTCAATAATCCACAAAGGTGTAGGTAGGTAGAGGTGCACATTATGCCACTGTACGATATAACACCCACTTTTCACTATTTATGTTATGAGTCCCATGTAATAGGGGGTGAGCCTATTGCCATATACCGGGCACAATCAATTCCAGACTCCGTGCTACTGCTGAGAATTTTTTTAAACCCAGTAATACTTTGCCGGCCCGGGAATCGAACCCAGTCGGCCAACGACGCAGAATAATTTGTCTGTTTCCAGCGACTTCATCCGCGTAGAATATGATTCCGGTTGTATCATATATTTTCCTGTTTTATAAGCATATAATCGGGATAAAAAGTCCTAAGACTTAAATCAGCTCATACCCTGCTTGTATACCAAATTTTATCAAAATTCGTTCAATAATTTTAGCGTGATTGACGGACAAACATCCAAACAAAGAAACTTTCACCTTTATGGTATTAGTGTGAATATAGCTGTTTTAGATGGGTCTAGGTTTAAATAACTAAACAAATATGGGAACTTACGACCTATTTACTGAAGAGTTATGAATAAAAAGGTCGTATTGCACGAATATTACTATATTTATATAATGAAAATATGAATCAACGGTGAAGCCGGTACAAGTATTGTGTGGACAACGATCTAATAGAAGTTTTACATATTATGCGCCAGATGGCAACCTCACGCACTTCGTTCTATACCAACATTTACACATAGGATTACAACGTTAGACAATCTCAGACACCACATCACAATAGGAAAAAGGTTTTCCTAAGTGAAAAATTCCAGATATAATTCCGATGCGAAATCCCAAGCCACGTATTTAAAGACAGGTCAAAAACCCATAACCAAAACCAACATAAAATAAAACAAACATTATCATTACAACACAGCATTATTAATTTCACAACACAACGTTTCAAATGACACAATTTTTACGAAACCAAATTATTCACACTTCACAAGTTCACATGGTACGGGAACAAATCTTACCCTAGCCTTGGGTAACGTTCAACTGGCTCCCGGTTCCAAGGGTATTCACTCAACGGTCTCCGAGGCAGCTCTGGGACGGTATAATCAGGTCCAGGCAGATGGAAGTCTCTTCTAAACCTCCTGATAGGTCCTGGGTGATAAGGGACTTCAAGATTCAAGTCTCTTTTCCTATCTTTGACTGTACCAGGGGAAACTAAGGTCCTGATGCGCTTTATATTATGTTTCACATGGATATTGTTATGGTGAGTCCATTCTGTATGCGATGTTTTGGAAATATCCGATAATTTATGTGATTTTTGAGTCGATAATGGCGATTTATTGTCACATGTAATTGTTCCAAGTAAAAATATGGCGAGGAACGCGAGAATTATAGTTGGTTTACCCATCATGTTGATGATGTTTTGACGAATGAGTTATAAAATACGTTATTTCCTATATATATGTAGGATGTCTTAAGGAAATATTATTGGAAAAAACATATGGAATAAAGGAAATCTGTTTTATTTAATTGTTTATTTGTCTTTGTATCCGTGTATGTGTCATTTATTATTGATTTGTGGTAAAAACAATATAATTGGTGTAATAACTTAATTGGTATTTTGTAATTTAATAAAGATGTGTTTTACAGCAAAACTGGAATGATCTTCGTCGCCGGCGACATTTCCGAACCGACACAAACACAACCTTCAACCTGACACAATTCCAGGCTCTGTACTACTACTGAGCATTAAAAAAAACTCAGTACTACTTTGCCCGACCCGGGAATCGAATCCGAGACCCCTTGCCCGGCAATCGCACTTGCTGCCACTCGGCCAACGGGGCAGTATATTATTACATTACAGTGACATTAAGTGCCATAATTTGGACGTCTGCATACCCCTTCAGTGATAAAAGGTTATGTTATGTTATGTTACAAGCTTCAACCTTCAAGAAAATAACGTATTCCGTTTTAAAAAGCCGGCAAACCTCTGTGACTCCTCTGGTGTTGTGGGTTTCCAGAGGCAGCGCCAATCTCTTACCATCAGGTGATCCCTATGCTCATTTGCCTCCCATTGCATAAATAAACAAATATCATGTAGAATTACCTCACAGAACAGAAAAAAATTCTATTTTAAATGTTACCTCGTTGGTCGAGAGGTTACAATTATTAAAAGATTTTTTTTTCTTTTATGTCCGCTACAATAAGTAGCAACGAAACTTACGGTGCAATCTGAGTAGATGCACTGGCCAATACCTAAACACCAAAGGCATAAACAATATGTTGTTCCATCACGCCATCACGTTCGAAAAAATGATGGTATTAGGCGAATTCTTCTGAATATCGATTGAATTTTCAATAGAGTTTTCTCAAATTTTATTTTAATGTCCGTCTGGTACATTAATTTAAAACTTTAGACACGTATTTTTTCTTTTCTCTCAAAATTAAATACTTTCGACGATATATTAATTTGAAATATTATGTGACGTCACAGCGTGTCACATTTTGTAGCACGTTGTGACGTAACGTCCCACTCCTAAACTTAGCGCCATTTTACCTAAGTATTGCAACTTAATACGAGAAAATAAAAATATACGTGTCTAATATTTTTTCATTATCTAACTGACGGACTAATTAGATTTTTTATTTTCGATACCTTGGAAACTACCCAATTGTAATCCATGCTGCTACTGAAAATTTTAAACTGAAATCCATCTAAAGAGAACTGAAACCAAGAATAAATAACAAACTTAATAAAACAGAGACACATTAACCTTTTAAATAACTTTATTGTCTATTTTAACTAGAATTACTAAAGACTAGAGATGTCTAAATTCACAATCAAGCTTAGGTACCTAACTGCCGCATTCATAGACGTTAAATGATAACTTAAACTATTCTTTAGTAACGATTTAGTTCGGGAAACATTTGCTAAGGACTGGATTAAGTAGCCATTAAATGACTCTGAGTACGCCGGTTATAAACTTTTGATTTCTTAAATTATTTACTATTTAATATTTCTATTTCTATTTGTTGTAAACTAACTTAAAATATTATTATCATTATGATAATATTAATAGAATTTTAATTATGAAAAAACACAACAATTGGGTACTTGCCAATCAGTCAAATTCAATACGTTTCGAACTATCAAAAAATTAATTTTGTACGAGATTGTGTATTGTGACGTCACGCTTTTTTAGCGACAAACAGCGTACTTATATCTTAAAAAACTGCTGGAAATATACTAAAAAGTAAGCTGGTCATAAAATCAACTAATGAAAGTGTGTTTTTTTTTTAATAATTTTATTGTAGTTAGGGCTCTCCAAATAAAGGCCCGGCCGGTTTGTTTTCATGTGGCCCGCGACACACAGTTTAATCTCAACCTTTTCATCTTATGTGCAACAACAATAATAAAATTCAGTGTATGATTTGTCTACAAGTTTAGTCTGTGAGTAAAGAATATAATGTTAAAAGTCATTTTGCAACTGAAAATACTTTTCTGGCTCTCCAGCTTTTGTTAGAATTAGCTCGCGAGGGTATATAGTATGGACATTATATTTTATTGTATTGAACAGTCGAAATAATTTATGTTTGATTCAGGAAAGTACCCAATTACACCGTCTTAGGTAATAAGATACTGTAGGTACTTATGATAAAGACTTATTTAATACTTTGTTTTGCTTTAATTTTACTTAAATACTCACTGTCCAAAACCCTATAGTGTGATTTACCAAACAGACCTACTTTAGTGTGATTTAAAATGATGATATATGTGTGTTTATTTTATGCGACATAGATCATCAATCACGTCACTGAATTTAAGTTTAAGCATGTCTCCGGCCACCGTAAGCCTGGGCCTGCGGACGGCGAGCACGGGTAACACGCCGCTTGACCAGAACCCAGCGCACGGCGCGTCGCGCTCGTCGAGTACCGTATTTATAGACACAATTAAAGAACAATAGATTGCGGTCACCGGTGACCGCTTGGTGTTTGACAGTTTAAAGAGCCATCAGACCACCACAGATAGGGCCCAGCAGGGCTGAGGCTGATACGGAGCCGCGGAGGACTTAACAGGTTACCGGGGCTCCGGCTCGAAGTGCAGAAGTAGAAACGGGGTGGTTTTTAGTCAGTAAGAGTCTGACACTTCCTATCGCCTTACACAAGGCGAGAAAAGTCATTGAATGATTTCCGACCTCAAAAAGAAACAAGACAAGCTATGCTTGGATATGCATGTAGATAAGGTCTATAATACTTCCCGATCGTACCTGCGGAAGACCTAGTAGGTTATCAAGACTCAAGCTCGAAGCAAGAGTACGAACGGAGTGGTTTTTAGTCAATACAAATGAGTACACTCACTCTCGCCTCACCGAAGGTGGGAGAAGTCATTGGATGATTTACTCTTTAAAAAAACCGACAATATTTATGAATTGAGTAAATAAGTAAAATTATAAGACTGCGTAGCACAGCATTTTTAACTATGAAAAGAACAAAAGACCAAGAATACCACAAATCACAGGAAAGTAGACCAGTAGACCACATTAAGGATGAAGAAAGAGAAAGGAAAGAAGAAGCGAGAGAACCGATCTATGTATACTGCTGTCTCTCTCCCGTTGCAGAAGGTCTCGTACTGAGGTATGGAAGCTGATGTACTGGCTCTAGGGTCCACTGTGGTTGGGAATATATGCTGGAACATATAAAAAAAATTAAAATTAAAAAGTGAAATATAATTTATTTTCGTTGAATATAACTATGACATCAGATCATGGATCTACACTGTTCTAGAATTTTTTTCATATTTGATCTAGATTTTCCGTGAAGTACACACAGACTTTTTGAAATTCAAGAAAGATTTTCTGTAATAGTGACATCTTCGACGTCCATAAAGTAATCGGAAAATAATTCAAAGATTGCTTAAGCCTGCTTGTGACCACAACAATACAAAATTCACTGTTAAATCATCAAATATGATAATTTAATATGAATTGATTCGCTTTACTAATAAAATAGACAACTCCAAATACATTTTTCATCATCAACTGTCATCTGCAGAGACACAAAGAATACCATCTCACCTTAAAAGCATCCAGATCTCTAGACAAGTCTTCATCCGAATACCCCTTCATAGCCTTCGTAGCTACAGGACCCATGTAGTTATTCACCACGGCAAATTCGAAGAGTGAGAGGAACACGAAGACTGAACAGGAGGACATCCACACGTCTATAGCTTTTACGTATGACACTGGTGGTAGACTCTGTTGAGATTGTGTGTTTTGAGTAGCTGGGGATAAAAATTAATTAAAATGAGTCGCAAGTCAGTTAGTGGTTCCCAAAGTTATTTAGGACCTACTTTTAAATGAAATTAAACCGTTACCAATATGAAAAGTAAAATACAGAACGGTTGGTTAGTGTGTACGTGTACAGACAAGGCTCACTAAAAATTCGTTTGCGACCCATCAATTGGTCGCGACATTTTTTTTTTCAAGCTGGAATCCCTGGTAATCCGTCAGGTTTTCTGACGGCCCCTAACTTACTATCGTAAGTAATATGATAAAAGAGGTAAGTACGTATACACTTTTACTGAAATCTTAATAAAATAAAAAAAGATAATATAAAAAACAAACTTACCCAAAGTAAGTAACGAAGTGACTCCCAAGGTGACTCTAGCAGGAATGGCTTCAGGTTTGATCCAGAATGAGATCCAGGACATGACGACAATGAGAGCTGAAGGGATGTAGGTGTGGAACAGATGGTAGCCTAGTCGACGACGGAGGTTGAACACTACTGCTAGACAGGTGAAGTTGCCTGGAAGATGAATAAGAGATTAAAATACAATGTTGTTGAGCTGATTCCTGCATTGGTTGAAAGGTCGTCTGAATTTAAAATGGCACACAGTGGGCTAATGTGTTATTAAAATAGGACGCAACATAACTAGAAAAAGTATATGTCTTGTGTGAATCAAAAAATGTTTTTACAGCATGCACTTATGGAAGTCTTAGGCTGGGTTGAACCAACTTACTTTAACAATGACAAACGTCAAAGTTTCTGTTAAAGTATCGGTGGGCCAAAAAGACGTTGCACCAATTGACAAATTGTTAAATGACGTCATAACTTTAACTATAACTGTAACCCCTCACTTTTCCCTGGTTACTGTTAAAATAAATGCTATAACTACTTTCTGTGGTGCAACTAAGCCTTATTTTGATGTCTTATTTCTTACCCGTAGAGTATTCAATAGTGCAATCAGATGTGTAGTTGTTGGAGATGTCTAGTTGAGGCAATTCGATGTCCGGGTTAACAACTAGCGGGTCTGTAAGGTTCCAGATGAATACAAGGTCGTGGACGGTGTGAGATACTGGAAAGAAAATTAAAAAGATATGTACTATGAAGAGGAAGGCATTGATATTCACAATTTAACTATAAATCAATGAGTACCTAAGTATTACGTACGCACATACTATTTAACTACTAGAACCTGGTCATACAGGTCAATAATAAATACCCTGAATTCTTCAGTTAATAAACAAAATGTCTAAATAACTCACAGCTCTCAATCATCATGGAACAGCTCTGTGTGTCATGGGGATACGACTCGAACTTCATGGCACAGGAGAGGACCAAGGTCAATCTGGAAATATAATTAACGCAATCATATAAAGTTCCGACAAAGGGTCTGGTAAAGGGGTATGAGTAATTAATAAGTTAATCAACCACTTTCCAACAATTTTGGTCTAACTTAGATCAATAAAAACATATACAAAAGCTTGTAAAAAAAGTTATAAGTAGGTATGTATTTAAAGTTGTCGTGGTTTTAAGGGTATAGAATTAGATGAATAAGAATCTGGTAATCAGCTTAACCTCTTGAGTACCGGTATATGAGACACAGTAGAAAATAAATTTCGTCTCGCGTATATCTACGTTCGTACCACGGGTTAATCTAGTAAAGGCTCATTGCCAACTCCGAAATTGATTAGTTAAGGAAATAGTTAGAGGAAAGAAATACAGTTCTGATAACTTTTAGATTTTTAGCCAAGTGACTGAGTCCGAAATAGAGTATGGTGTCAGCAAACACGTCTCTTTAGCCTTCTGAATTTTTTCTACAAATTCTAACATAATTTCACCAACTTACTTGGACATATACAGCAGAGTTTTATCATGGTACAACCATAAATAATGGTTGGGTATGCTCATTTCATGGAAGGTCACTTTCTTAGCGTTCTTGAAGAAGCAGTCTGGTCTCCAGATCTTGTTCAGCCAGTCTACATCCAGGATTCTGTACTCTTCGTGCATATTCTCTGGCAGTCGAAGACGAGGGTCTCTCCAGGATTGGGCTAGGAAGATGTCGGCTACGTAAGTCTGGAATGGGTGAAAATATTTTTGATGATGACTGATACGTGTGTCCAACCGAATTAAAACCTAGCATCTATAGCAATTACTTAGGCAAACGAGCAGACGGATCATTTCCTGGTAAGCAATCGACGACGCCCCCCATGGACACCCACTTTACCAGAGAGAAGTTATAAGTTCGTTGTCTACCTTCTAGAATAGGGGATTGAGGGTTGGGAAAGAATTGGTATAATATGACTGGCTGCGGATCGATTTTCACACAGAGACGAGAAGCAATCTTTGTGAGACCTCTAACTAAAAATTGTTGTTTCATGTCTACGTATAATGTGTATGCGAATTCGTGTGTTCGTAAACGCACCTACGAACGACACAGGAGAAAATCTATTTTGAAACCATGTTAAAAAAGTTATTTTTTATTTATTTATTTATTTTTCTTCTTCACAAAACACAACAGTGAATGGCGGACTTAATAATGCCTTAAAGCATTCTCTTACGGTCAACCATAAAGAAGTGCAGAGAAATGAAGTGGTTGATGCGAAGCCAGAACACAATTAAAAAAAAAATTACTATTAAACTAGAGAAAAGCCCTATACCTATGTGTATCTCGCGGAGGACCTAACGGGTAACCGGGGCTCCGGCTTGACGTGCAGGAGAAGGAACGGGGTGGTTTTTAGTCAGTAAGAGTCTGACACTCCCTCCCGCCTCACCCAGACGGGAGCAGTCATTCGATGATTTTCCCCCCTTATAAAAATACCTATGTGTATTAGGTAAACTAACTTACCATACTCTCTTCATTAATAGAATCCAGAGACAGCACAGTGACGTGGAAATAGACTATGGTTGGCTGTCCCTGCAGCTTGGGCGCTCGGTTCTTATCGTAAAACTTGGCTTTCTCCGGTAAAATGTCCCGCAGTGACAGGCTGGATTCGGATTTCAGTTCTATTTCTTGATAGGAGGCATTTGTTCTGAAAAAGATATTGTTAGTTTTTGAGTTGTGAGACAGCATCATTGATAGGACGTATATCACAATCTTCATATCAATCACAGTCCATTGCTGTATATATAAGGTCTTTCCAACGACTTCCAGATTGGTTGAAGAAGAAGAGAAGAAGAAGAGAATACTTCTGGAAAATTCAATGGCGCCTAACTTATCTCATTGACAGAAAGTTTGTCTCTTTAATGAATATTTAGGAGATGCATGATTTGTACAAAATATTATTTATTTTATCGATTTTGAGATCAAAAAACTAAATTAGGCGATGTGGTCAATGTTTAGCTTCTTTTTTAAAATATTTTTTGGTGTAGAAAGGGCACATAACAATGAATTAATTCATGTTTTAATGAGACTGATGACGTCACTAACAAAAAGTAGATAGTAAAGTTAATGATACTTACAGAAAACTGACAGCGGCCTGCACTCTGCCAGCCTCGCATGACTTCACAACAGTCATGAAGATAGTCACAAACACTTTCACTTCAAACTTCATCTTGAATGTCAACATCACACACAAATATATATGTTCATACATTTATCTTGAGCAACGGTATATATATGACATTCTTATTTCTGCTTTAATTTGTCCCTACAAAGGTTTCATTTTCTTTGTACTAGAAAAACGGGCAGAAAACAAATAGAGAGTGTGTTACAAATAGAAGTAAATGTCTTTGATTCAAGTACCTACGATAAGACCAGGATGCTTACTCTTGAAACTAATCTCAATGTCAATACAATTAGAATCCAATAAAAACCCAATAAATATTCAATGTCAAAACTGTACAACCCTTATCGTAGCGGCTAAAATAGCATTCAGAGTACGGAATAGAAAGCCAAACTCAAACTAGAAAAAAATAGAAAACCATTTAGTTGATTCAATATCCACGCAATATGGATGCAATGAGCGCTAGTGTTGCAACTCAAGAGTACCTACGATATTTCACAATACCAATGTCGATCGATCGGAATTGGATTCAAGAGTAAGCCCCCTGATCCCTAACTGCCTAAAACTGAGAAATAACTTTGAATATTTGACAATTCTTCCGCACTAAATACTGTCAAATGTCAATTTTATTCTAGTTATTTGATTTGTTAATTAACTGATGATTGAAAAAGTAATGCATGGTATATGGTATCTAATACCTGTGATAAAACCTACCCAAGTTAATTAACCTTATATAATTATATAGGGACCCTTTTAAACATTATTCAAAAAGTCTTGTTGATTGATAACTCTTAAAGAAACTTTTTATTTGTACGAAATTTAGCGACGAAACATCAAAAGCATCAAAAAATAATACACCTAGTTTTTATCCAAGCCTTTGCTTACACGAATTAGTCTATATCCCCTTCTTCGTACCTACTTCCAGTAATAAGGTTCCCAATTTAAAGCTCATCAAATTTTATCCTGCAGTTTAGGAAGTTAATACTAAACACACGTACCTAAATAAAATCTACCTACCTAAAGACATCAACTTTGTAGGAAGTAACCTCGAATGCAAGCTTATCCCCAACCTTGATGGAAGCTACGAGACATGTTATTTTTATTATAATTGAAGACTTACGTATGTCATGCACAAATGTAATCCATTTACAAAAGGTTGTATGTGTTAACTATTTTCAAATGCAGCTATTTTTGCAACCGCCATCTTAAGTAAGTGGCTTTAGAAAGAGCGTTGCTACGTAACATTGTATTTATGGATAGTTACGTCCAACATGGACTTAGTATTATGGATATAATATTCTGTAATACTTAGCGTTTTTAGTGTTGAGTCTGTTATTGCAACCACCAATACTAATTCCCAATTCTACCGTAAAAGCGAGTCTACGATAGGAGCGATCCTACTCCCTGAAACCCAAAGTCAAAACTAAACTAGAAAAATGTTCCTACAATTTAACTAAGATTAAAAGCAGTGTCCTGAGAAACACAAGTTCTAAATAGCTAGATTATGTATTATCAATTTACAAAATTTTTATTGCATTCAAAAAATTAAATACCTACTTTAATCGAAATTCATGCTCCTATTCATATGAAGCGCCAACTACCAAGAAATCTAAATTCCACTCAAGTATTGAGAAAGTGTCATTGGTTTGGTCTATTAAGAGGATCCGGTGCCTCTTTCAGATACGGATGGTGGTTACCGGGGAGGTTTTAGTGAGGTAAAAATCCCACACTCCCCAGTCTTTTCCCCCAAAAAACCAGGTGCCTTTTGAAGGTTTCCCCCCGTCAACAACAAAAAAGACGGTATAGCCTTTGAAGAGTTCAGATAGGTATCTGCTACTTGCTTACTATTTTAAAATAACATTCTCCTATTAATTTATTTTAATGCTTTACCTCTATACACAAAACATAGTACGTAGGTGGACTTATCACCTATTTCTTTACCAAATAAATTAATAAGATTTGATTACCAATTAACTTTTGGGTGGTACAGAGGCATGGCAGTCTACCTACTCATTTTCGAATCAAAGGACTTTTATAAAGACAAAGTATATTAATAGTCCGATATACCGCGCTATGTATAATCCATTCTAAGCACATGGCTGCATTGTACTTATGTGGATATCGAAGTATGGCTTCGTTTCATTATCTAATAGTCTACAATTCAATATAGTGCGAATGTTGGTCTTTACACGTGCGTAGCAATCAATCTAATACGAATTATTATTTGCGTTTTATATATTTTTTATGGGATAAGCCGGTAAACGAGCGGACGGGCTAATGGTAAGCAATCGGCGCCGCCCATGGACACCTGAAACACCAAGGCGTTACAAGTGCGTTACCGACCTTTTGGGAATTGGGAATTTGAGAATTGTTGAGGATTCGAGGATTGAGGAGAATGAGGAAGGGGGAATTGCGCCTATAATAACCTCACGCACACGACAAAACACAACGCAAGCGTTGTTTCACGTCGATTTTCTGTGAGGTCGAGGTATTGCTTCGGTCGTGCCGGTCCATTCATGCCAAAGCATAGCTCTCCCACCCTTAAAACTTTTACACATAGGTAGGTATAGCTTTTGATAGGCGTATGAAAATCACGATGTTTTTTGTTACCGTTAAAATTTCAGATAGCTATTTATCCTATACCCAGTAGTAAAAATTCAAATTTCGCAATTTTTTGAGTGCGGAGTTTAAAATGTTTTTTCGGTATTTAAAGCAATATCCCCCATTCCATGGAAGTCATGATCTGATTGGCGAAAAGCGGGCCCCCTTCCTCTTCGACTATTAATAGAGATAGACGTGATATTATAAATTAAGCCCAATGAACCCATTAATAACACGTTACAAGTTTACACAAGTTTTGCATAGAGTATCAGCCAATTGACAGTTAGTATCTAGTGTATATGAGATGAATTTTAATATTTAAATCTCTTCAGGGGCAAACCTGCCGGGCAAGAGGTTCGATTCCCAGGGTCGGGCAAAGAACTAATAAGTTTTTTTAATCCCAGTAGTAACACGGAGTCTGGCAATAGACTCACCCCCTATTACATGGGACTCATAAACATAAATAGTGAAAAGATGGTGTTACATTGTACAGTGGCATTGAGTGCCGTAATGTGCATCTGTGCCTACCCTAATGGGAAAAAGGCGTGACGTTAGGATTGTTGTAGTCTGCTCGGTAATTAGTGACTGGGCCATTATTACTGGTCACATTCACCGTGTAAAGCGAGCTCAGGAACATTTCTGTCTCCTTAGGCAAATGCCGCAAGAGCCATAAGTGCCGATGTCCTCTTCAAGGTTCTGATTACGGCCACCAGGGTAGTTTAAGTGAGATAAGAATCTCTCACTCACCATTCCCCATCCCAAAAACATTAGGCACATTTTGAAGATCCCCTCATCACCAAATACCACCCCGACTCTAAATTTGGATGAATTTTCCATAACGTCATGCCTTTTAATCCCTGAAAGAATAGGCAGAGCAAATCACATAAGCCTTACAATGCAATATACTGACTTTTCACCAATTTCATTATTATTCGTTAGCCGTAATACAATCGATGGTGAACCTAATTGCCGAACTTGCCATGATACACAAAGGTTTTAAATCAAATTCTTACATGAAATTCCAAGTACTATTAATTTATTGGATATGAAATCGCATAGCATTAATAATTATTTGAACACTAAAGGGTCTACCTTTAGTGTTCAAATAATGACAGTATCTAATAAATACCTAACCAAAAGACATTAGTTACCTATTTAGGTTAGTAGGTCATCATTCATTAAGTAGTCATTTCATTGGTAGGTAATTTGAACTGTGGAACCTAAATACACAAAACTGCACTTCAGATAAAATAGCTCCCAAAATATAGACAGATTTGCTCTGAATTAAATCCTTCTGCGCAATATTTACACTGCAGATAAAACCTACTGCCTCACCAAATAATTATACCTAATTAAGTTAGGTAATCACACTTTTAACCTTATTTGTTATCGTTAAGTTTATAGTTTTAACACCAATTTTTGAATTCCCATTTTTGCACTTTGAACTTAATTAAGTAGATACACTGTCACAAAAACGTTTTTAATCGATTTTTTCGCTTTTTTTCACAAATCGTAGACATTTTTTACTATCCGAGCTCACACCACTGCTTTCAGCAGTACTGAAGGCGATTTTGCTGGAGTGTGAAAAGTAAATAAGGACGTGGGCTGGGCATAAGAGGAGCGAAAAGCGATTAAGCGTATGAGCAAAAGTCACACAAATAACAAAATGTAGTGTGTTTTGGTCACTTCAACATTTTTGGTTACGGAGCTGCGGAAAGCCTTTTTTTTAAGGGTGGAAAATCATCCAATGACTTCTCCCGTCTTGGGTTGGCGAGAGGGAGTGTCAGACTCTTACTGACTAAAAACCACCCCGTTCCTACTCCTGCTCTTCGAGCCGGAGCCCCGGCAACCCGTTAAGCCTCCCGCGGCTCCGTATCGGCATCAGCTCTACTGGGCCCCATCTATGGTACTCTGATGGCTCTTTGAGGCGCGCGCGAAACGCGACGCGCCGTACGCACGGGTCTGGTTCTGGTCGGGCGGCGAGCTACTACCAGCTCACCGTCTGCAGACCCGCACCTACGGTGGCTGGTGATCGTCTCGCGATCCCCGACGCCCGGAGTGTCTCCCGCGACGGCTGGGGCGTGAGGAGGTTTATTCCCTCATCCACTCCGCCTCCTCTTTGGCTAGCATAGCTGCGGAAGGCCTAACGGGTTGCCGGGGCTCCGGGTCGAAGAGCAGAAGTAGGAATGGGGTGGTTTTTAGTCAGTAAAGTCTAATACTCTCTCTTGCCTAACCCAAGGTAGGCGGGTGAAGTCATTGGATGAATTTTCCCCTTCAAAAGTGTTTTTTGGTGGAGAAAAGGCTAAAGGGATCGGGATGTTTGGAATAGGTGTAGATAATGGTCTGAAATAACACACAGGCTTACTTTATGTTCCACGAAACTGCGGGCCAAGCCGCTGGCAGAAGCTAGTTTCTTGCTATAAACAGTAAAGCCTTTCCAATATGCCCACAGCTTACGTCCGGTTTGCTTAACAAGATTACGAGCACCGCGGTCGAGTCAAACGACGCGGCCTTGCGCCACTTGTTGATGGGTGACCACTGTGTGACACCCATATTTATTGATAGGCCTTTGATTATTTTATACCTTCGAGACAGCCCTAGGAAAAACTAGAAAAGTAGGCTTGTGATATGTCAAGAGTTTTTTTTTTCTATAGTCTATTGTGCTGCATTCGACAGCATCATGTGGCTCATATGATGATAATGAGGGATGAAGGTGCAAGGTGTTCCAGCTGTCCGGGTGCCGGGTATCCTTACCTACTATATGTGTCTGTTCCACCTACTTGTTATATTGCCTCATAACAGGATTTTCCCGTATAGTAGGAGCGTTTACGTCACACCCTGATACAGAACAACTGTTTATTGAATATGCCAAGAACTTTTCAGTTATTCCGAGAACCGAACCCACGACACGTTGTACAGTAACATTACTCCAACCGTGTAGTCACCTTGATTTCGACATAAATAAAAAACGTAATTATCGACATTATATTTATTAAAAGCTAAAATATAATTCTTATACTAAAATAACATTTTAAAAAATGCTCACATAATTTCATTGTATTTACAGTGCGATCGTGTTTCCTACCTACTTTAAATGAACAATAAAATACGTTGACTTAACAAAGAGTGATTTTAAGAGAAAAAATATAACTAACCCTCTTACAACGGCCGAAAATCTCAATGATCTCTATCTTTTAAAAGATCGATTTTTGACATCATCTATAGTATTATGGGGTTACTGCAAAAATAGAGATCAATTCAGAGATTTTAGATTAAAACCAGTGACTATGGTACTGTTAGACATGCTAATTTCAAGAACAAAAGCATGCTTCAATTGAACACTTCTCACTTAGTAGCATGTGTTGGAATGTTGCTCAAAATTAACATGCATTTCAAGCGAATTGCGAATCGACAGTTCGATTTTTGATAGGACGCCTTTTAGCATGTGTAATGGGTAATTTAGCAAAAAACCTTAACATTTATTTAACATATCATAATTCTCACGCGTTGTTAAGTAACTTAGTAACTTTAAATCATCAATATTTTTAATTTGATTGAGAGCAAGGGCATAGTTTATTTTTTCAAAATCACAATTTTAATTTCAATCTGCAGAATTGTTAACTATGACTTGAGGTTAATGACGAATCACCCAACAGCACGTTTAGTCTATGTAGGATTTAGGCCCTACACACGTCCCAGTTACCATCTAGTCGGTACCACAGCAAAATGTATAGGTATGTACGTTACCTTCCAAGCATACCACTACGTTTTAAAGTACATTTGCTAGGTAACCGGACCATGAAAAGGCACTTACGAGTCCAGAGTCACAGAGATTCCAAATTCTGTTCGCAAGTGGTAAAAATCGTCCTAAGAGTATCTCCACATTGTTACTCAGTTTTGAGGTCGACAATTCAAGCTGTAATTTATCAACCCGCCTACAAAGGGAGGAAATCTTAGCAAACCTTATGTAGATGAGGCATATAGTCCATCATTGACTGACTGACTGTCATGGACTGTTGATGATAATTGGATTCACACTTACAAACAGAATTAAGTAGTGACTTAGTAAATTTTGAGATCAAAGCATACATTACATAAACAATAACAGTTGTTGGGGTCTCACCCTACTTTTCATGTTACAGAAAATAATTTTGTAAATCAGCTAACAATTGGCAGGATAACCAATGAACATTTACCTATAGTTTAAAGAAATAGTTGCAAGTAAAAAAAGAAAGAGAAAATAGGTATAAAACTATATAAAGACGCTATGTAAAATAGATATTTTTAGTGTCATAGTGTGTCTAAGTTTGTTGAATACGTCGTTAGCGAATATATCGCGAATCGCATGCGTACATTTGGCATTTAAACGCCGCCTATTGCGTTTTTTATATTTAAACGCATTCGCCAAATCAGAACGCACAATAACAAAAACCCAGACACAAATTTCAACATTAGATAGGTACTTAGACTAACCCTGGATTAAGAAAGGAATAGTGCTATATCAGTCGTTTGCGATAACCAATTACAGATTTAATTACTAGTATTAGTTGCTCCTTTCTTTCCCGTGCCATAGATCTTCTGGCAAAGGTCTAGGAACCTCCATCCATTCAACTCCTCAGGTTTCTCTCTCACCATATTTCTATACTCAGTGCGGACATCTGACATTTTCTTCGAACAAACTATAGCGCTTTTCTTCAACAACTCGGAAACTTCAAGCCAAAGATAGCTCCTAACGTATTTAGGGTTCTTAAACTTCTCCAAATTGCTTAAGTACCATTCCAGAAGCTGTTCCGTCTCATCATCAGACCATGTTTCCTCATCATCCGGTAGTTCGATAATCGGTTTAGGATTATTTTCTACCACGAGTTTAACAGCAATTTCTCTAGCTTGAATTTCTTTTAGAAGCTCCCCAAATGGTGTTTTTTGACCAGCAACCTCATTGGTATCACTATTATATTGTTGTTTCAAATAGTTTAATTTGTTAAAGACTTTAGTAATGGGTTCGCATACGTAGTTAGCTAGTTCTGTCCATAGGTATTTCTTCTCGTATCTAGGGCTGACAAAGTCCTCTATGTTCTCCAAATAGTACTGTAACGCTTGTACTACTTTATCATCAGGTAAAGTGACATCCTTATAGACCTTCCCATCTTTTAAGCTCTTAGTTTGGTCCCCTTTCTCAAATTTCGGTTTCAAACGCATTACCTTTTCCATTAAAGTGAAATAAGGGTTATTTTTCACGTTGGGATCTGACTTATCTAATTGTTTGTGATTAGCCTTTAGTTTTGCGAACATTTTTCTGCAAGACTGCACAGTTTTGTTTGGTAATTTCGACGCAATCTCCTTCCACATCTCTTGTGGTTTGATCTCCTTCCCTTTATGCGCCCTTATGTAGTTAATGTAGAAGATAATCAGCCGCTTTTTGGTCCGTTTCGTCCATTTTGGGAGTGGTTTGACCTCCTTTGGTGGTGCTGGTTCTTCTGGGATAGTTTCTAAAGTTGCTGGGTCTTGTATTATAATTTGGGCGTTTTCTATTTGCGATATATCTTGACCTTCAGGTATCACTATGATGCACTGGTAGTCATCTTCTGAAAGAATATGAGATAGTTGTTAAAAATAATGTAACAAATAATAGAATCTTGTATTTAAAAGGGTTTATAAATAGAAATTACTAACAGTTCTCACTTTGAACTGGACACAAATCAGACAAAACGAATATAATGTTATTAGATATTAATATTTTTTTTAACAGTTTATAAAAACTGACCACAACACCCTCATTTTTTGAAGTCGGGACGGGACGGGAATACGGGACAAACTGAGAACCTCTTTATTTCTCTTTTTGAAGTTGCTTAAAAACATTACATAGTGCGACATCGCCGCGACCACGCACGCTGCTCATGAGGAAGAACCCCTCTGTGGTTCGAAACTAGTAGAGCTTTCTCAGTATATTCACTTGAGTAACCCGCGATTTTAGTTAATTACAACATTTCATCATTAATCATAGCACAGATTAAAATAACAAACTCTACAAACCTTCTTTCTCATCAGAAACCATATTCAAGTCCAACTCCTCAACTTCCATAGCCTCATCATTTCCATTCTGCTTAGCATTATAGATATCTTCAAACATATTGAAATACTTCCAAGAAATCTTCACATCAGGATTCCTACTCCTCATAGTCTTCAACTTCCTATAAGACTTCCTCAATTCAATAAACTTCTCCTTGCAAGCATTCTCCGTCTTACCGATATCTGTTGCCAAATCAGACCACTTACTTGTGTCATCGACAAAATTATCAATTTCCTCGAAGTTTTGAGCAAAGTAATTTATCAATTGTTTGATTTCCTTCGCTGACCAGTCTTCGCTGTCATCGGAATCCATTCTGCCGTTCTTGAGCTTTGATTTGATGGCTCGGTAGCCGAAGACTTTCTTACAAAGAGCATAGTAAGGCCATAAGATAGGCATCTCTGGTTTGTTGATTTCTCTTTGGACGTAAGCAGTGTATACTTGTTTTAAGTTCCTAAATCTGTGAGCGCATTGGGTAGCTGATATACCTATTCGCTTAGCCAGAACTTCCCACAAGGAATGTTTATTTCTATTAGTAGTGGAGAATTTGTCTTTGTGCTTTTGGTAATACTCGAGGATTTTGAATGCTTTGGATTCTCCGGCACGCCTTTTGGTTCGCCTTGTGAATCCTTTCTCATCATAGTATTCGTCATCATCACTGAAGTCATCCATACCTGCTTCCTCTTTAATATTCACTTTTTTTACTGGAAATAAAAAAGTATTGCGTTATAATTCGTACTGAAATGTGTTAACAAACAAAACATTAACAGATCTGTCTACTACCAGATTTAATGAAATCTAAAAGATAAAACAGTCAACAGGTGGAACCTATTCCCACACACAATATGAATCATCCAAAAAACCCAAACTAATAATAATTTGCCTGACCGGGAATCAGACCACTCTTTGCAGTAAACAGTCGTTTTAACATTAGAAATAGTTTTACTTTATTGACCTTAATAAAAAACTCGAATACTAACCTCCAACCTTCCCCAATTCTGACTCCTGAACTGCTTTCGGACCGCCGGCATCCTTAGGTTTGTCATACCCAACTAACAAGTTAGTATCCATACCATAATCGAATATTCTATCAAAAACTTCAATATATCGCCAATCGATCTGCATATCAGGATATTCCTTCTTATCATTTAGAATAGTCTGATACAACTGCACCAAGTCATCCCATTGGCTTTTACAACTCTGTAATGTCTTCTTTAACTTCTTCGCTACAGCTGCCCAGCACACAAAATGACATATTTTGTCTTTATACAACTGTATGTTGTCATAGAAGAACTGTACTAAGTCATCCAACTCCGTTGTCTTCCATATCTCTAATTCTTCTGGTATCTGTCTATTCTGTTCCATTTCATTCTGAATATCCTTTGATATGATATGGTCATATACTATATCAACTGGTTTTCTGCTATGCAAATCGTCGACATCCCCATCAATATACTTCTGCAAATGAGCCTCTCGTAACTCCTCAAATTTTGCTTTGCAATCATCAGCTGGTTTGTCAAGTAACCGGCCTATTTCATTCCACAGGAATCCATTAGGTATTGTCCGATCTTCAAACTCATCATAACAATCAAAATAATATTTTGCTAAAACAGTTATTTCACAAACTAACCAATCTTCAGGTGGTGATATCTCTTCAGAATCAGCTATAGCTTGGTTTTCAATTAATCTGTATTCTTCATTCAAGTATTTTCGATTAAATTCTTGGTCCCCTTCAAATATTTTATCAAATAACTCCATGTACGGCCAGTTGATACCTTCGTTGCCACTGTCTCGTCTCTTGTCAAGCAACCTCAAGTAATGCTGTTTATAATTCAAGAATCTCTTCTGCCAGTATTCCCCATCATCTTCTCCCATCTCCATCGCAATGGTCTCCCACAAACCACGTCTCCAGTACTCTTCTTGAAAGTTTTTTTTGTATTTCAAATACAAAGTTAGCATTGTATGAACTTTCTCATCAACCGCAGGTTTATTTATCTTCTTAACCATCATAACGTTGTCGAAGTTTTGTTTCAAAGCTGGAACTTTAATAATTTGTGGTTCTGATGAGTTGACAGTTTCGATGGTAATCACAGGGCTTTCATCTTGGAATATATTATGACATAGTTGGAAGTACGGCCACTCTTCGTACAGTCCTTTTTGTATGTTTTCACATATTTCATTGTACTTTGTTTGTAAGCTGTGCAGTTTGGCCTCACATGAGTTAGGATTTTTTCCTAAAAGCATTGTTTTGCATGCAACGGTCCAGAGATGTTGTTTCTTAGTTGTGCCATTGATGAAAGTTTGTTTGTTATCATTGTAGAAGACGAGGAGTCTGTTTATTTCATCGTCAGTCCAGTTATCAGCTGTTGATTGGTCAGCATTCTCATTGGAGTTGTCAACCATATCAGGGAGTACGAAGGAGTTATCTTGTTGAAGCTGTATAGCTTGATTCTCAATATTCTCTACTGTAGTAAGTACTCCTTCTTCATTGCCACCATTTTCTGTAATAATAATGCATTTTTTTAATAAAAGACAATTTATATTATTGTTCCATTAATACCTACACAATGACTAAGTTATCTGCAATGAAGTGAGTTTATTACTATCATTAATACTAGTTAAAACATTAACAGAAATGAATTATTATGATATCAATCATTGATATGAGAGCATATTTTACAAAATAATAATTAAAAAACACACATAGCACATAACATCATGCCTTTTATCCCCGAAGGAATAGGCAGAGGTGCACATTATGCCATTAAAAAACTGAACTGAAGTAGTATATGAAGAAAATTGAATATTTGAATATTGATTAATAGAAAATGGAATATTATAACAATAAAGAACTTACCATCAACATAAAATAGAAGTATCTCTCCGTTGCTCTGCATCTCAGTTTTCACTACTATAGAATCCATTTCATTCTAATGCAACTCGCACCACCTGAAATGAAAAATAAAATAAATTTAATGAAAAATATAGATTACCTAAGCAAGAGCAAGCAACCCTGACATTTTTTTTAACAGATAGCAATTATTTATTTAATAACAATTCAATAGATGCAACAGGTGGCTGCATAATGTCACTAGTTCAATTTTCAGAACAACAATTCTTGTTTAACCCTTTGAGTACCGTCATTATACACACAATTAACTCGTCGAGTACCAGTTTTATAGACACAATTAAAGAACAATGGGTCGCGGTCACCGGTGACCGCTTGGTATTTGACAGTTTAAAGAACAATAGGTTGCTGTCACCGGTGTCCTCGCGGTGTTTGACAGTTTCAGAACAACAATATGTGGATTCAGATCCTGAAGCCTAATGGCTTAGTGTGATATATGTAACTCACACAAAATGAAAGGTGGTTTTCTATGGAATAGGAGGCAAACAATGGATGGAAAAGATGGATCTGATATGATGGTAAGTAATCAGCGCTAATAACACATTGTTTAATGCTGATATTATGCCTAATTTAAAATTATTTGTAAATATCTCCTTCTATCCAAAAGTTGTCTTGGAGATATATGACTTTCATTGATAAGTCTGTCTTGGTGTTCATATTTTTATGTATGTTTATTGTTTTTATGTATGTGTAATGAATGGTGGACAATCATTATTTATCTACATATGCATATGAAAGTCTTTTATTGAAAAATTCATTGTTTACAGCAACACATTGTAAATAATAAATGAGTAATGTAAAGTACACAAAAGATTTCATCTTTCTTCCTATTATAGGTTATAAATTTGAATGGTTATTTTAATTACAGATTGTTGATATTATTTATCTGTCTAGCTATTTAGTTTCAGGGCAGAACCAAGATTTCAAAGAATATAATTTGTAAGGGGAAAGATAAATAACATATTGTTTAGACTAGCTTCTGCTAATCTGCTTCAAAGGCTTTTTTTACCTTTGCCTTACAAAGGTCATTTTAGGCCTAAGGTTGAACTACATCGAAGGGATAGCTAGCTATTACTCCTAACCTATTGATCTAAATACCAAAACAGTTTGATATTGAACACTGACAGTCTTAAATCCCGTAGTCTACATTCCAGAACACCGGTAATGAATGATTTGACTATTTCGGCTAATTGATAAGACGCAAATTATTATGGAATGCTAGCGTCCAGGATAAATTAATGTTAGAATAACAACATTTCTAACATTTTCAACCGATATTACCTCTAAATTTACTAAAATTCTTTGAAATAGTTAATTCCCAGAGGTAAAATATCATACCGCTTTCAAAAACACGAGACCGACTTCATTATTATTGCGTTTTAGCATCATTTTCTAAGTTTTTGGGAAATTAATTTCGATTTACTTACCAATAAAACACCGCAAAACAAATTATTTTGACTCAATTTGACATTGGCGGCCAAAACACACAATGTAGATCGAAAGTCACAACAAAATTATCAAAGAAGCGCAGCAATGCGGTATCATGCAACGCTAGCGTTCCGAATTTCGGGCTTCAATCCGCCATCCGCCATCTTGATTTTTGAACCACTTCGAATAAGGACAGTGCACACGGTTGTAGTTTTTTCCCGCCAGTCATATTGATATTTTTTTAAATAATTCTATAGTTGTCTCTTGAGACAACTTGTTTCGTTAATTGCAAAAGATACTGATTGAAAAATGTAATAGGCGTGTAATATAAATATAATATATAATCAAAGACCATGTATCAATTTATTTCTCTTCCATGTGCTAATCTACATTTTTATTTAGTAAGTTACAGTTTGTCTAATTAAGAATGACGATATAACTATGGCAACACATAATAAAAGTACATTGAATGTCATCAGCTGTGATAGAGTTTGTTTTGCGAATTGTTTTTGTTAAAAAGGTACTAGATTGAAATTGAAGTAAATAAAACTTAGAAGAAGTTTATTAACCATGCAAAATAACAATTCGAAGTGGAGCTCAAGTGTTTGTATTTCGATAATTTCGAATATCGGTAAAGTGATTTTAAATAGAACAAGAGGCTATAATATAATAATCTATAAGAATATGTTTTCGCTCGAAGAGTATACATTATATTTTATCTGCTAGAAATGAAAAATCTATCTAAAATATGGTAATTTATATATATAGGTTTGTTTTGGATTTTATTGTTTTGGTTGATTTTCATTAATAAATAGTCATCATTAGTAACTGTAGTTTTTATTTAGTTAGTGTGAGTGTACCCACTGCCTTAATAGGTACAGTCAGTTACAAAAATAAACTTCCATGTTTTATTTTCTATCATTTGATTGGTTTGTTCTCACTATTATAGTTTATATTATAGGACTTATGTTTTATAAAGGATATATCAACTAATTTCTCCCTATATTTCTTATTTCTTATGTTATCATGGAAACCATATTTAGGCTTTATTTAGGTTTGATAAATGAAACATTTATAAGTAAAGTTTGAAAACACAACTTTATTTTCAAGAACATTCGACAAAATAAAATAATATAAATCAGTCATAAACACAATCATATAAAATCATTGTTGTTCGTTCGAATGTTACCTATTAGGTACTAATAAAATAAACAAACATCTAGTTATATGTTTACTTTGGCAATCTTATCATATCGGATGTAGCTGCAAATTACTTTTGCTTGTAATACTGCTATTTATTATTCTCTAGTGTATAACTGGCAATAAAGCTGACACCTAATAAAAAAACTAGTTAAATTCAAATTCATTAGTCATTTTATAATGGAAGAGTAATTTCTAGTATTGAAATTAAATCTGAGAATGGATTGTTGTGATGATAGCTTTTTTTGAATTTTGCTTCATTAAAATGTAGTAAGTACATTTTAGCTAGTTTTCGGCTGTTAGGTACTAAAACCTCAAAACCACTATACACCAGAGAATAACATTGAAATTATTTTAATACTGTCACTTTTATTTGGTATAGGTACATGATATTTAATATTTGCTAAAAAACTAGGTAAATTATTTTAGCTCTATGTTGGCTTGGATACATGTAAATAGCTAAAACTATTTTGGTCACAATCTAAGAAATTCTAATGATATGGAACTGTTTTTTAAATTGCTATTAGACAACACGATTTGGTTTTAATATCGACTTTATAATATTAAGTGACATCGTTTTCACGTGGTGCTCTTTGTTTGTCGATAAAAATATATTTTATACATATTTTGTCATACAAAATAAATAACTTCTCAGGATATGTTAAAATGTATTTTTTGGAGTAGATATATGACCCTATCGTGACGCCTATTAGCTTAACGAATATTAAAAATGTCAAATATTTTGTGAATTATACAAATGGCGTGCTCGTAATTTTGTTAAGTAAAACTTGTCATTTAGTTTGATTTAACATACAATATTATTAGATAATTATGTAAATATTTTTATAAAGATTATTTATATGACATTTTGGCGGTTGTATGGGCGTATGTATGATTTCAAATATAAAAGTTATTTTATTATATCTTTTACACAAAGGGACACCGAGAGACGAGAAGTTTATTGTCATTTTTTTAGTTATTTTATTTTTGTCGCCATTTTTAAAATACCGGTTGTCAGCGATGCGACAAACTATAGTTAGTAACTATATGTATATTATGATTTATATAAAAATTTTCAAAGCCAATGTTATTATCTTATTTGATAGGGATAATTTGAAAAAACAATAGAAAAAACTTGTTCATAAATTCCACTTTTGATTATAAGCGGATAATTAGTTTAGCTAAGCAAATATAGCTTTAGGTAACAACATCTGAAATCTCATACATTTGTACTCCCACTCTTTAAATACACACAAATAGCTAACTACAGGTTAACATACACGTTAATGCAAAACATCAATAAAATTAAATCTATTACTTATGTAAAATATACAAAAATATGTATGTATTTTAAGCAATCAGTATCAAAAACTGTGAACATGTGCAACTGTGAACGTGTGCAACTGTGAACTTGGTTACTTTTTGGGTTAGGTAAACAGTACACATACTTTTGACACTGACTGTACCTACGAAAACATTGACACGTACACATCTTATATCACACACAAATACACCTAAAAGACAAAACTAAAGCATGATTTAACAATAACACATAAAAATGACCAGCATCTTCGCGTTACATTGTCTAAAAATAAGAAGCCCCGTTGGTACTGTGTGGTCTGTATAGTAACTAACACTTACTAAACCATAGATGGCCAGGCTTTGATGTGTTTGCCCCACACTAGTACCCAGCAATTATGCCCTTTTCGTATGATCCGGTTGCCAGGCAGCCAGTGTCAGGTATCCGGTGGTGAATGTACGTCAAAAAGTACCGGTTAGTGTTAAAAGCTGACGTAATAAATATAAGTAGGTACAGACTTTGCCAACAGGATCCTGGCACCAGCTACCAACCGGAGCGTATGAAAACTTGACACTCACCGCTGTACTTAAAGTCATTTAAAGGTTACTTAACCCTTGATTATTGTTATCAGAATAAAATCGTTACTAAACAAAAGTTTAAGCAACCATTAAATGTATTTAAATACAACAGACGTTGTTGAATGTTTTGCTGGTGTAACGAGGCTTCAGTTGACATTTCAAACTAACAGATGGCACTAAATACAAAAATTACAATACACTTCACTTAATAAGTACATTAAGTCTAAACATTGCACATTTCAATACATTCAACTTATAATTAAATAAGAATTAGGTAAAATATTTACAAAAATAATAATTCATTGGAGACTGACACCACCTAAGATATTTTTAGATTACAAAACATGTGAATATTGTAAAAATATAAAGTTAAATATAAAATAAATAAAACGAATTTTAACCACCTATCTGTCTTTGAAACATCAAAATAAAACTAATTTGAATACCACAAAGGTACTTCTAAAATATGTAGGTAATTAATTAAGATAGCTATAAAACATTTCTATCTCTGTTTTCTTATATCAGAGATTTTCATTTAGGTACGGACCATCAAATAATGGGAGTGGTCTAAAATTATGATGTAATTAAGACACACACAAGCATTAAATAATGTTATTATTATTATTATACCACTAACTTATTTGATCAGGTGAAATAAATATCTGAACAATAGCCAGTACTCGTTCACGATGATTAAACTTAAAATAACGTTATCTCTTGGTCAGATAAGAATGCCACTGACGTCATGAAACTTATATTTATTTTATGTTTAGGTACAATAATGTATAACTTTTATGTCTACGGTACGTAAATGCTAACGTACACTCAATTTAAATATTGACCTCAGTACTTACTAAGTAAAGAACCAGTGAAATAAAATGACTTTGCTGAAAAAACAAGTCAGTGGTATTTAGTATAAATAGGTACTTATACTCAATGATGCAAAGACCGTTTGTACAGTGATATCCTATCAATCGCCCATCTGTTGACGTTTTCTTACCATAGAAACACACTATAAACACGGTCTGCATCCAATAGTTTGCCTTATCTATAATAATATTACATTTTAAACACCTAGGTTATCAAGGAAGCTTTCATGAGAGAATATAGAGAATACAATGCGAGATTTGATTAGTTTTAGATAAATTGTATTATAATTATAATAAGGATACAGTATAATTTTGAATGCACCTATGAAATACAGCACATTAGACAGATATTTGAGGGATTGATCCTATGACCTACATATATTTGTATACATATAAGTATATTTATTATTATCTATATGGAGGTTATAACTGAGAGACGAGGTGATATATAACGATAATAACTTTAATGCAATTCAAGCGACCATTATAGAAAATTTCTCTTTATGTTTCAATTTTAAATGTATATATCCAAGTTATACGCTCCGCGAGTGATATTGCCCTTTTCACCTCGTCTTCGCTTTGGGAGAGCACCATCGACATATCATCAAAGCATTCAGGCACCTACCATTATTTTCATACTATATCCTTTTGATTTTACAGCTATTTTTGTTCTATGTAATATAATATTGCACCGTTAGCCACATTTTGTTACAAATATTTCGTACAATCTAATTTGATTAATTGCTATTTTGCTCTGTTTGTGTTTAAGGCGTTTTTGTTAACAACGCCATCTTTCGACACGTTTTGTTGCGATATTTGACAGATCGATTTAATTGTCAAACTGTGTGTACTTAGCTTTATTTCATTGTGATATTTTAATCTAGCTACCCAAGGTACTAAAAAACGTTATTCTTTTTAAAAGTGCTCGAAGCATTATATTTGGATGTGAATATTTGGCACCCTTTTAACTTAAATATATTTTCATTTAGCTATTTAATTATAATGTGCGACTATTGTACCTACTATGACTGAACTTTGTCTGTAATAGAACTGCGAGTTAGAATATATTATTTTATTATAAAAGTAAAAGTAGGTATATTAAAACAGTGTTATAAAGACTTTTGTATCCGACTGTACATTTACACCCAATTTTTAGTTTGTGCATGTCATGTTGGAAAACATTATTTACACGCAATAAAATATTTTTTGTACTTAAATTAAACACATTGTTAAGCATTACTTTCGATATTTTCAAACCGATTCTATGTTAGAAAATTCAAATCGATTGTAGAGATGGGAAAAGATACTAAATTTAATGGCACTCAATTTTTTTTCTGACTATTTAGAATCAGAATATTTATTTGTATAATATAGGTATATTTAATAGTATACCTATGTTATTTGTAATTTGTTCGCTACTAAATAATTGATCGATTGTAATTGTGATTTTACTGTGACCATAAGTGATCATGTTTCTGCTAAGTTCTATTACGAACAAAGTTCTTAAAATATTGGTTTGAATTCTAACTAACTCGCACTGTCATTGATTATGTACAAAATCATTTAATTCCTATATAAACGCGTAAGGTACTAATTCAATACCCGTGTCACACAACTGCTAAGCTCATATATACATAAATAGTATAAATATCTAAATTTTTATGGGTCTGACAACCCTTTCCTTTATTCAAAATAACGATCCACGTTTTGACAAGCCTTAATATATCTTATTCAGTTAATTTTGAGTTCTATACCATTGTAATAAGTATGTGATTGATGGCCAGCATATACTTGTAAGATACATTATCTTGTACTAAATAACCGTCTTAATCAAAACGGATTCAGTTAATTTTGAGTTCTATACTATTGTAATAAGTATGTGATTGATGGCCAGTATGTATATACTGTGCAAGTATTTGCAAGATATATTATCTTGTATTGAATATCCATCTTAATCAAAACGGAAGAAGATTCAATATCGCTTGTCTTATCTGTAAATAATGTTCGCCAAAATGTGTAACGTTATTTTATAATGCGAATAAAGTAGTTAAAATGGAATCAACTTTTAATTTCACTTGCTGGCCCTAGATGTCGCTGTCACTCAATTTTGACTTTCATCGGACATTGTTTCCCAAATATTCTTATGTTTTAGTACTTTATGTAAGTAATCTAGACATTTGAAAAACCAATGATTCTTCTGTGCAGCCGAAAGTATCGTCGTTTTCTTTCTTTCTATTGTCATTTCCTATCGCTTTACAATAGTTCCTTAGTTTTCCACCCACATATATAAACTGAACTAAGCATATAATTTTGTAACAGCTTATTCACAAGAACAATAAACCTATATTACTAACATTTTCATACAATTTCTTTTACTGGTAATCGGAAAAGAAATTAACGAAACTATCTACAGTTATAATAGGTGTATTGATTTATGAATAGTCGCAAATGTTAGCTGCATTTTAACTACTTTATGTATTATGGTAAATATAACAGGCAGGTCTTACTAGGCATCTGTACTTCTTATCATGGTTTCTTATTTTGCAAGAAGTAGTTTAGTATTTCAAATTAGAGTATCAGGTTGAAAAAAAGTAGATTTGAGACATTACTAGGCGGATCTCGATTGTGATCACGACAGAAATCGGCTGCTAAGTTATAAAACCTTGTAATGAAGGAACATCTGATTGGTCGACATATTTTCTGTCCGAATCGTTGTCAAGAGTTCCATCTGAAGTATTGTTAATAACTTAAACATACACATGGAAATACCTAAATTTCTATAATCTTCAAAAACGACTTGCCTGTCCTATTTACCTCCAGAACTTATATTCCTTACAAACCTCGTTTTGTGACCTTTACCATACTTCGCATTTATCTCTAGGGTTCATTTTGGACCCTATAGGGCAGTTGAACTCTTCAGAAAACTCCTTCAAATTTGCTATAGGTCCTATGACCCGGTATTTGGCGGTCGTATGGTCATCCTTCTCAATTTGCATCTTTGTAGATTCTTTGGTCATTGCTGAACACCATACCTTTAAAAAGAAAAGCATTTATTTGTATTATTGCTTCTAATAAGTATTTATGTTGCTGAACTACTGAACATCTGGATTGATATTAATAAAATCTGTTTCTAAATGGTATTGTTTGTGATTGCACTCAATAGATGGCGTTAAAATCGTATTCTAAGGAAATCTGCTAGAATTATTAACAATTAATAATTTGTTTTTAGTCTAAACAATATGTTAAAATCATGTTGATAAAAGGGCTGAGAAATCTCGAAATGGTTAAATAGTATGTAATAATATAACCCTGATAATAATAATGTTTACCTGAGCAAAAGAGATGAAGAACAATTGCCGGTCATTATATTTTAGTCCTGGTAGCGTGAGGTTAACTTTTGCAGTCCTGCTGTAGTCCAGATACGCGTGGAACGATGCCTTCAGACCACCGTTGTCAGCTATATTCTCACCTGAAATGTAGACAAACGATTGTCGTAATTGAAAGTCTTTAAGGTATTCATAAAAGAATTGATTACATACTTATAACAAATGAATGTAGTAACTTATGGTACATTCACTTCGCCATTGATATTAAATACGAGCCGTGGTACGCCACGTGGTGATGGTCCAGAAGAATATAAGAAGATACTTGTTACTACCCCTATTTTTACCGCGGGAATCGTAAACCCCAGCTAAGGGACAACTACACATTTAGCAAAGACCAAACGATAATGTCCAACCCGCCAGATAAATATAAAGATCCTCTTAGGAGGCCCATAGTCCTCCAGTACACTGTAAATTTTCTATTGATTTTTGAGATAATGGGTTATAGTTTTAAATAATATTTACCAAGAGTCTGTTTTCCATTCAGCCGCACACCATCTACCGAGTAATTAGAGTATTGTTCCTGGAAGCATTTGGCGCGCCTCTTGAACCTCGCTATGGTCGCATTGTTCCACCATTGGTTCAGATTACCATACCTGTAAAATACAAAAGTAATTTTTAAAATACTCTAAATAATTAAGGCAAATCAACAACTTTTGAATAGAAAAAAATGAAACTTAAGAATTAATCCTCAAATATTGTTATATCAGATCGATAGTAAATATAAAAAAAATGAATGCAATTAGTTATTCGGGTCTGCATTGACAACTAAATAAAATAACATAACAATATACACTGAAATACATAACATAGCGCTAACCATGTAGTTTAACTTAGCCAAGATTTTTTTTATTCCAGGGAATCTAACCATCCCTGGAATAAAAAAAACTTTATCCTAATATATACCTGTCATACTCCCTTCCCTGGTCATCAAAAGCATGAGTCAGTTCGTGTCCCATCACAACCCCCATGGCACCATAGTTGACTCCCTTAGGGTTATCTCCATCATAGAATGGTAGCTGAAGTATACCAGCCGGGAACACAATCTGGTTCTTTGTGGGTGTGTAGTACGCGTTCACTGTTGATGGTGTCATGCCTGAAAAAAGAGATTTTACGTTACATCTAGACTTCAATTTAATTATCAAAATTAAATTAGAAGAAGCATTGACATTACAATCTTGGTAATAACGCCATCTACATTTCGAAACAAACAGCAGTACAGTAAACCTTAGTTTCAAATTTCGACATAAAGATGTCGCTAATCTTAAATATATATTTTTTTACAAAAAACATTCTCACCCCATTTAGTCTTGTTTACAGGCTTGTCTAATTTATTCAGATCATTTTTCAGGCTGAAGACATTGAAAGCAATGTTGTTCTCAAAATACTCGTTGGGTTTGACTTCTAGTTCTTCATATTGCTTGTCTAGCTCATCCTTGTGGAGAATGTAGTCGGGGAAACCTGGAAAAAGGGTGTTCAAAGGTCATTAACATCAAAGTCGATGATCAATAGAGGGGTAATGTTTGAACTGTTTTAAACGAGTTTACAGTTAAGGGTATAATAAAAGGTTTAACATTGCAACAATACCTACACTAGTTATTACCAAAGGGGTACAAACACAGTATTTCCACCTCTTTTCAGCTTTTAACTGCCGACAAAAACTAGCCCAGGCTAATCCAGTTATCTTAAACATCGGACCAATCCTTACTAATATTATAAATCGGAAAGTGAGCTTGTTTGTTTGTTTGTTTGTTCCGCATTCACGCCGTAACTACTAAACTGATTGCTTTGAATATTTGCAGACGTAAAGTTAGAAGTCCGGATTAAATAAAAGGGTACTTTTTATCCCGGAAAAATTTGATATTCCCGAGGGAAAATAAAAGTATTGGTATAGATGGCGCTGTGTGTATTGGTATATGTCACATAGGCTACTTTTTATCCTTTTGTGACGTGAGCGAAGCCGCGGGTAAAAGCTAGTAATCGAATAACTAAAAAGCTGTTTTTAGTACGTTATTTGAATGCCTCGAATAGGGGACGGAAACTGGTAGATAAAGACGGGAATGATGACGAGTTTCGAACCGTAGAACTCAATAATATGTTATTTAAATATTTGCACAATGTCAATGCCAATAACTGCCTCGTTGGCCGAGTGGTCGCAAGTGCGCCTGCCAGGCAAGGGGTCTTGGGTTCGTTTCCCGGGTCGGGCAAAGTATTACTGGATTTTTAAAAAATTCTCAGAGTCTGGAATCGTGCCCGGTATATGGCAATAGGCTCACCCCCATTACATGGGACTCATAACATAAATAGTGAAAAGTGGGTGTTACATTGTACAGTGGCATAACGTGCACCTCTGCCTACCCCTTCGGGAATAAAAGGCGTGATGTTATGTTATGTTGCACAATGTTGTACATATATGTTTCCTGACTGGTACCAAACCCAAGCTACATCTGACAGTACAACTTACCAATCATGTCAGTGATAGCATCAGCTTTAATTTCCGCATCTTTTCTGGTCTCCGCGTCCATCCAATCCAGGTTCTTAAGGTTTCTTTTGAATGCGTTGCGTATGTTGTTGATCATTATCTCGCCTTGAGTCTTCGCTTCTCCGTGGAACACCTCTCGGACAAACATTGCTCCTACTGCGAAACCTGGGAGAAATGAGAGGCTGGTCAGTTTTAGTAAGTTAATAACATGCCACATCTAACCCGCGGAGAACCTAACGGGTTACCGGGGTTCAGGCTCGAAGTGCAGGACTAGAAACGGGGTGGTTTTTAGTCAGTAAGAGTCTGACACTCCCGCCTCCGAAAAGGGATTCGATGATTTTTCCCCCTTAAAAAAACCCTTTTCTCTCCGAAGGGTAAGGGGCAGGGGTACCCATTTTTATCACTCCTACACTTCCAGCTTTGCTGGTGTCGTATGATTTGACTGAGAGACACCTTGTGGTCGGAACCAGGCAACAACGCTATCTGATAAACCCAAACTATGTAAATCGAAAAAAAAACCTTATCCTCGCCTCCTCATCTTACCACCCACCCTCAACCTTCAAATGCCCAAAAGGTCGGTAACGCGTTTGCAACTCCTCTGGTGTTGCCAATGCGAATGTCCGTGGTTAATCCAGCTGTTCGTTTGCCGATGTAGTCTGCCAAGCATTGGGATTATGACAAACCCCGAGATCTAATATTGGGTGGTAGGTTCTAAGACCACCAGATACAACAACCACAACCACTTTACTAAAAAAAATAAGACAGTAACATACTAACCAACAGCATTATTAGTATCAGTAACACAGTATCGCCAGGACTCCTCAGTGCCCTCTGAACCAAAGAGTGCCTTCCTCAGGATCTTGGTGGCATCACGGAAGGACTTGGAGAGGTACGTCGAGAGGGACCGGGATACTTGCCACATCATGTAACTTGTTAGGGTTCTGTAACAGAAAAACGTGTTCGTGTATGTTTAGGATGAATTTTCGTTAAGGGTATATTTAAAGTAGAAAAATGTCAGGGATTACATTTGTACATCCCTTAAGATGTAAGCCAAGTCATCATATTATGGGATTATAAATATGAGAGTTATTCTGAGGTCAAAAGTCAAAGCATTTATTTCAATTAAACCATAGTTTGGTACTTTTCAAACGTCAACAAATACAAAATAAATAATAGTCTGTCAGTCAGTCCGTCAGTGAAACTAGGTGAAGCTAGGAGGGATGTGAAAAATCTAAAGTATCAGAACACGAATCATTACTTTATTTAAGTAAATGGGCAGTGAATTATTATCGCGAATTCATGAAGTGTAGTGATTACCTTTGGTCTTCTTCAGTTTTGCTGTATTTCTTAATGACCTTGGTGAGATTCTTGAAGTATTCTGGCGCATACACTACTATTCTTTCCGTGTCCGGTATCTGGAAACATTAGGTACTAAGTAAGATGCCTAAATAATCACGCTTGTAGTACTACTGAAGACAGAAAAGTCTGAACGTGGTAACTTAAGGATATCTGATTGATCAATTGTAAGAGCGATTCGAGAGCATGAGGAATAGTATATGAATCACTACGAAGTAACTTCACGCATATCTCCCATGGGAGTAGGCAGAGACTATGGAACGCCAATTGCTACGATTCCTACATACCTCTTTTGCTTCATCAGCAGTCGTCAATCTGATCGTGCATGCCCGTCGGTTAAGGGGACTTTCAATTTGGCCCTTCTTTAATATATCGCCAATCTGATCAGTATATGTCCGTCTAGGGCGCCCTCTACCGACAGCCCCATTCATATACGCTCTATATACATCTTTCGTAACTCTACTTTCATTCATCCTTTCTACATGCCCAAACCAGCGTAACATTCCCTTTTCAATCCATGACACTATATCACCTCCAACCCACACCTTTCTCTAATAACACTATTTTTCACTCAATCACTCAATTTTATTTCATACATACTTCTCAAATTCTTCAAGAACGCTTCTTTAAAATCAAAATTAATAAATAAATGATACTCACAGTCCTATTAACCAATTTGAAAGCATCATTGAAGAACATGGTCCAATTCATGAATGGCACCTCTTTCTGCCACTGCCTGATAGTATACGGATTATATAGGCCCTCCTCATCCCTCCTGTCCTCAGAGGGGGTAGTTATATTAGCTAGCTCAGTTTCAAAAAGTATTACTTTATTCATCTGCGCTCTTGATTCCGTTTTATTCGCTCCTAAGAGGACGCATATGCGCGTCATGTAGTCTAAGTATGCGTCTAAGACTTTTTTATGCGCTGTTCTATTGAGGTAGTTGTCTCTAGTTGGGAGATTTAGACCTCCTTGGTCGAGCTGAAATGATAGACAAGACTTGGTTAGTATTGGCTATGTGCAAAGCGAGTAGTGGCGGACAGATAACGACCGCAGCGCACAACACGGCAGAAATTGGAAACAAATGCGGATGATGCAAACCCGATTTTTATTATCATATTCATTCTACAGTAAAACTATTGAATAAATTGCACTTAAATTATGTCAACAATACTATTTTAATCTTTGGTTTTATTTATATTTGCAAAGAAAATTATAATGTTTACAAATGTTGTAAATGCTACGCGTGCGCCACCGTCGCGCACATAGCCAATCATCATCAACAGCCTATAAATGCCCACTGCTGAGCAAAGCCTCTTCTCACACGGAGAAGGTTTGAGCATTAATCACCACGCTTGCTCAATGCGGGTTGGCGATTTCAAACTTATAATTAGAAATTATAAGTCCAGGTTTCCTCACGATGTTTTTCCTTCACCGTTTGTCAGTGGTGTCTAAATAATCTTAGAAAGTACATATAACTCGGAAAAAGTCACATTGGTACTTGCCGTTGGTAGGTTTCGAACCCGCACCCTCATGCATGAGAAGTGGGCGTCTTAAACCTCTGGGCCACCACGACATAGCCAATACAAAATAGTTAAGTGTCACTGTATTGTTCTAGGGCAAATAATACCAATGAAGTAGGTATAAACAGAAACAGATTAAACCTAGAAAGCGCCCTAGACAAGCACCTCATAGGCGCTCCTATTTTTTGGCAAGTTTCGTGGCGTCCCTCTATAACCCAGCACCATAGGCAAATGTCTAGTTTGCTTTAGAGATAATACGACTCTGGGTACAAAGTCTGCTACTGGAGGCAAATCGCTTCTGACCAGCAACACTGAAAGTCTTCGAGGAAGGCTCATGTTACAGAACAACAATGATAAAGTACCTATAATCTTCGCATGACCTCAAAGTTCCTCATAAATGTATTTTTAAAGTACCTACGCACTTTTTTAAGTGGTAAATCTGTTCTTCGACTATTATCCTTACTATTATAAATGAGAAAGTGAGTTTGTTTGTTTGTTTGTTCCGCTTTCACGCCGAACTTCTAAACCGATTGCTTTGAATTTTTGCAGACGTAAAATTAGAAGTCCGGATTAAATAATAGGGTACTTTTTATCCCGGAAAATTTTGGTATTCCCGAGGGAAAACAAAAGAATTGGTATAGATGGCGCTGTATGTATTGGTATAGGCTACTTTTATCCTTTGACTGTGACGCGAGCGAAGCCGCGGGTAAAAGCTAGTAGGTTAATAAATAGAATAGGAGTACTCACCACAATGACATGTTTAGATGAATTCCTGTCATCTTCAGTAACAGCCCAGTTGAATAAACCGCCCAGGTTGTATCTGCAACATGTTACACCGTGTGTTTACAAAATAGGTCAACCAACTCTGTCACGATCACAGAACAGAAGTTTTAAGTGTGGGAGAGCCATGCTTCGGCATGAATGGGCCGGCTCGACCCGAGTGATACCACGGTCTCACGGAAAACCGACGTGAAGCAACGCTTGTGTTGTTTCGTCGTGTGAGTGAGGTTACCGGAGGCCCAATTACCCTCCCCTTCCCTAATCTCCCCAATTCCTGAATCCCCAACAATCCTCAAACTCCTAATCCCCAAAAGGCCGGTAACGCACTTGTAATGCCTTTGGTGTTCCAGGTGTCCATGGGCGACGACGATTGCTTACCATCAGGTGATCCGTCCGCTCGTTTACCGGCTTATGCCATAAAAAAAGAGAAAAACAGCTACATTCTGTGGTCAGAATCAATTTTGGCGTTTGCTTGTCGCTAATTCTGCCTATGAATACTATTGGATACTTGATGAACTTACGTGTTCTGTACATGCTGAACCAATGTCTGCAGATCCCAAGGTTGTTTAGACATGGTACTAGGCAGTATATGCCATCCACCCAGCTTCTTAATGACAGCTAATAACGGTGCCTCTCCTAGTTTCTCAATGGTCTCATTCGCGTCTATACAGGCGTCATAGTAGATTCTGGCTTTAGCTTCCGCGTCGTTGGTATTTGAGATGTTCACTTTTTCTGAAAAGGGAGATAAAATGTTATTGTGAACGTGATTATTTTTACGTGGGCGATGCCATAGTACACTTCGGCACATATGAGCTGGCTCGAAAGGAATATCACAGATAGAGTGTGAAACAATGTTTCGCCGTATGTGGGTGAGGTTTCCCGATTCCCTTCCACCCAAAAGCCACGCACTTGTTACACATCTGATGTTGTGGGTCCATTGCTTACCATCAGCCTATCAGGTGATACGTCTGCTCCTGCCCCAATATCAACCATATGGCCATTGGCCAAACAGGTTTAGAGTAACTGCAATTTAGTCCATTTTGGGTGCTTTTGTTGAAATTTCCAAAAAATTAATCAATACGACCCCAAAGCTGGTACATCTTGCTTCATAGTTTTACTTACAGCTAGTTGCTAGACCATCTACCGCATTTAAGTCAATTTACAAAATAGTCCTAAAACAAAAAACCTATATTTGTTGAATGATATATTATAGGTAGTGTGTTAGTTTATTTAACCTTATGTATTTACAGAAATATTATAGCGTTTTGAAAGACGTCAAAAACCCATGAAGGCATATAATAACAATATAAGTTTATGTACAAATATTAACACGAATGTACTTTTTGTTCGTGAAATATTGTTTGATGCTATGTACTTATACGATTGCGTGGTAAACAATGATCGCATATTGTGGTGTAGGGAAGACAAATTGCAGAAGGTTAGCTTTATTTTTATAGTTTAGAAAACGTTGCCCCACACGTGGATTTTCTCCTGTGTCGAGGGTGCGTTTACAAACATATAACTTCACATACACATGACAGTTAGACCCGAAGCAACAATTTGTGGATTACACAGAGAGTTGTTCCGTGAATCGAACCCGCGACACGTTGCGCGGCAGCCGGTTGCCCAGCTATCGCACCAACCGTGTAGAGGTAATAGCAACTGGGGTTATTGTTAATTAGTTATGCCTATTGTGACTATCAAACTACTATTTAACTTTAAAGAAGGCTTTATTACTATTAACTTAAACTGTTGTCATTTTGTTTGTTGACTTATATTATACATAAAATTAGATTTTTTAAATTACCATCTTCAAAGTAAGTAACCTTTTCCGATAAATTGTAATGTTTTTGAAAATGAACACGTTAATAATTGTGTTGTATAACTACTAGCCTTTGCTTAAATATTCTAGAACTAGCTTCTGCCCGCGACTTCGTACGCGTAATCCAATTTTTTCCCGTCCCCGTTCGTGATTTTCGGTAAAAAGTAAAAACAAAATGTTGATTAAAAAGTATCTTATGTCGGTCTCCTGGCTCTAAGCTACCTCCCTACCAATTTTCAACCAAATCTATTCTGCCGTTCTTGAGTTATAAGTGGTGTAACTAACACGACTTTCTTTTATATATATATATATAGATTGGGTAGTTTGCTGAGTTTTTGACGTTACGATAAAAGTATTGGATTTGACTAGTTGTCAACTACCGTATTAAGTAGGTTCCTATTCACTTACACCTCAGTACTAGACGTTTTATTTGAAACACAAAGAAATTTTAAAATCAGTAATCCAAATCTCTAATTATGCATTTCTGTGCGAAGTTAAACTTTTGATCTCAACTTTATAGTGACGCGACAAAGTAAAAAAGTGTAACATCTAATTTTTTTTACATATACAGTACGATAAACGATTACTCGTATATAATTCACAATAGTTTACTAATACATTGTGAATATATTATTTAAATGTTATTGAAACAAAATGCCGAAACTCAGTATAGCTAGGTTATTCTGAAAGTGTCATTTCGAACTCTCGCAGTGAGCTCGATCGCGGTCTGCCAATTTGTGGATCACACAAAGAGTTGCTCCGTGCGGGAGTCCAACCCGCTACACGTTGCGCGGCAGCCAGTTACCCAGCCACCGCGCCAACCACCGCACAGTTCAACATTAAATTCCTATCCTATCTACCTCTAACCATCGGATAACCACGGATGCCCAATAGGGCTGATGCCGATACCGAGTCGCGGAGAACCTAACGGGTTACCGGGACTCCGGCTCGAAGTGCAGGAGTAGGAACGGGGTGGTTTTTAGTCAGTAAGAGTCTGACACTCCCTCCCGCCTCATCCAGGCGGGAGTAGTCACTCGATGATTTTCCCCCTTAAAAAAAATCCTATCTACCTTTACGTAACCTTTCTGGGAGTAAGAGATGAGATGTTACGTATATTGTTTATGTTACTGTCTATTTTGACATCAAGGAAATATTTATATCCTATCGAAATCTCAATGAATGTGGGAGTTACAAACATTTGAATAAATCTATCAATGAGACGTTCAAACGTAAATGTTTTTGGCTATCGAAAATGTTTTGACTTTGTGTTCGAGTTTAAAAGAATTGATTTAAGCGCATTCCTCGCACTTTTGCTGATGTTACAAAGAAATATCGCAAAAAGAGATATCGTGTTTGAATTTCATATTTAGGACAATTCTAAGAAATTTCTTATTTGCATTTGTTCTCAAATATACGACTGTTAAAATCAGTTGGTATATTCTGTAACTATTAATTCAAAAGATCGAAGTAAACTCGATCGCGGTCCGCCATGTTGTGTTGTGAAAATAATCTCGACCAATGACAGACGAGAATGCGATCGAGCTCACTTGGAAAGTTCGATTTGACATCTTAGAGAATAGCCTGTTTTAATTTTAAATAGCATAGTTCACTGTTCTGCTTTTTAAAACATTTTTTTCTTGTTTTTTTTTTTATTTTTGTAACATTTTTCTTTTTTTCTTTCATGTGTGAAGTGAAGTGAAATGTACATCACAAAGTTTTGGGTTCAAACTTAAAGCGGTGAAAAGAGTAAGGTCTTGATCACCTCTTTAAGGGGAGCAAATCATCAAATGACTGCTCCCACCCGGGTGAGGCGAGAGAGAGTGTCAGACTCTTACTGACTAAAAACCAACCCTACTAGATTGCTTCGAACCGGGGCCCGATATACCGCGAAGTTGACCGCAGCCTCGGACGAGAGTTCTTATTCTCCATCTTGTATTTTTTTTCATTTAAAAACAGCACCAACGAACCAAGATCCCAGATACAGCCGACAAAACTAATCTCACACTTCTACTCACAAATTCTAAGAAAAACAGCTATAACGCTATGTTAAGGAAAATGATGATAAATATTTTTTCTCTCGCTTCGTCACACAATCTGTAAATGTCTATGACGTCCTCTCATGGGGTTATGATATTATGATAATTTTCATTGTTGCCATAACAAATAGTGAGTACTGGGTAGGTAGGTGCGTACTGCCTACTATGTAGTGTTACGTCACTGCTAAATACGTAGGGAAAGATAAAAGACGGTTCGCGGAACATTTTTCTTGTTTTTACTATCACGTAATAGAGGTTTAGTTGCGTGATAAACGTAGAGTAGATTACATCATCCCTACTCTTTTCGTGTGTATAGGTTTTTTTTTTTAAGCGGGGAAAATCATCGAATGACTTCTCCCGCCTGGTTGAGGCGGAAGGGAGTGTCAGACTCTTACTGACTAAAAACCACCCCGTTCCTTCTCCTGGACGTCGAGCCGGAGCCCCGATTACCCGTTAGGTTCTCCGCGACTCCGAATCGGCAACAGCCCTATTGGGCCCCATCTGTGGTGGTCTGATGGCTCTTTGAGGCGCGCGCGGAACGCGACGCGCCTTACGCTAGGGTCTGTTTCTGGTCGGACGGGGAGCCACCCATGCTCGCCGTCCGCAGACCCGCTTCGTGTGTATAGTTAGACTGCATATTTGATAGAGACTGAGCAGTAATGTTCCCTGATAAAGTTGAACTTTTTAAACTGAAATCTCCTACCCAAATGTCCCAAATGTGGAGATGAGACATCTTAAGAGGGTTAAATGTTTTTGAAACAAAGTACGAAAACCTGGGTACTAAAATTCTGAACAATTTCAATGCTAATTCGAACTCTCCAAGTGAGCCCGATCGCAGTCCGCCATGTTTAAGTTGTGAGAATAGTCTCGAGCAATGACGAGCGAAAAACCCATTGAGCTCACTTTTAGGGTTCGAATTGACACCATACAATAGAAGAAGCAATTCAACAGTAAACGTAAAAGTCTCAGGAGCATTTTTTCAAAAGATTGTTAGGCATCAAAGTTTCACAGACTACAAACCAAAATACCTAATTTAAATCACATACCAAGAGCATATCTGATGATCAACTGGTTCTGCAGCTCAATCTTGCTAAAGATGCCCCAGCTGGACTTTCCTTCAGGAATAGGGTTGTTCTTGATCCAACCACCACAAGCAAACTCGTAGAAGTCTTCACAAGGATCCTGGGTCTCATCCAGAGCCCTGATCACCTCGCTCGCTGTGTAGATACAGGAGCCCTTGAGGCACACCGCTTGGTCTGGAATAAAACGGTAATAATTTAATTCTTAAAATGGAAAAATACAATGATAGACTTCGTACAGAAAGAACGTATGCCAGAATCGTATCATTTGGCATTCCACTGCTATAGGAGATATGCTTGATAATATTATTTATGTATGTATGGATCTCCCATAAGACGTCTGAATTTCTATTGGTGTTTTTTTATTGTTGCGTGTAAAATTACGTTTTTGTAGACACACAGTAAGTACGCCCTTGGAGAAATTTCTTGTGGGGGGGAAATGGATAAGAAATGTCAACTTAAACCAGTGTTTTTGAAGAATTTAGAAGAAGATAACAAATAAAGAAATACCAAAGACATAGTGTAGTATATTGTAGTAATGAATTCATCAACAGTTATTGTCTAGATATTATTTATGACTCATAAAGATGGCCGTTAACACTAGTATTGGTCTCCCATAAAATTACAAATAACATTGGATCATATTGTTTCGCTAGTCCAATTACTTTTATACCTATTTTATGTATGTGTTGATCAAAAGATGACCGACGGGTGGTCGTGACATATTTTGTAACTGGTATTCTCGATGCTTCATATGATGCAGTATCATTTTAGCTAGCTTAAGACCAAGCTAGAATGGAAAATAGTATTATTGATTGCTGATATTTTTAATAATGCACTTTCAATATTATTTTCTATCCTCTTCCGTCGAAAGTCTCTTTCCTCTACGAAGAGATTTATGGTGGGCCATATCTCAATCTTCAGCTTTTTTCTAGTCATCTCAGCTTCGTAAAATGGGACCGCGAAAAACCATTGTAGAATTTAGATTTATTGTTACTCTATTTCGAGGCAATTCTTTCCTACTCCCAACAGGGCCGATGCCGATTCGGAGTCGCGGAGAACCTAAAGGGTAACCGGGGCTCCGGCTCGACGTGCAGGAGAAGGAACGGGGTGGTTTTTAGTCAGTAAGAGTCTGACACTCGGGAGCCTCACCCAGGCGGGGGCAGTCATTCGATGATTTCCCCCCTTAAAAAAAATTTTTTTTCCTACTTATATACAATTATTTATTGCTCGTTCGTGGAATTCTATACACTTCTGTCGATAATAGTCCACGAACAGATACCCTGATGACTCGTACCTTTGCTCTCAGGCTGGTAGCAGGGTGGCACGGGCAGGTAGCTGGGTCCCCTCATCGTCAGCAACAGGGTGACGGTCAGTAGTACAGCCACGAAGAGTACGGCAGCTATCACCATCAACGCCCGCTCCAGGCGGGTCCTCTGGTGCCAACCGATGAATGAGACTCCCTGGAAAGAAATAGTTCATTTTAAATTATAGTTAGTATAGTTTTTAGACAATCGTGGTCTAGTGCGCCATACAGTTATGCTCAGCCTGACAACATCCCTCTAAAGATTTATCATGTTTAGATTCGAAGAGGTAAGCTGCTAAGCATATGTCTGAGTCTTAACAGGACAACAAACATTTATTCAAAGTTCAGAGTCCAGAATATTGGTAATGACTATTCTTAAGCAGTCCTTATTCAGATATTAAAGCCACCTATCCAAAAACCGACTGCATCAAGAGTAGCTTAACCGTACAATTTCATAGTAAGATACATGCATTCTATACACATGTCGGATGAACTTGAGACCGTTAAACGTGAGTAGATAATTACCTAATCAGGTTAAGTAGCGAGGTTTGTTGTGTTGTTAATTAGATCCATTTTAATATGTTTACCAGCGTTCTACTGTACAACGTAAATCTAATAAGAACTACCTCATCAGTGAAGTTATTTGAAATGGACTTAGTTCAAGGACAGGAACGTATATGGGGTTTGAAGATTCTTTCATCACCATCTAAAGCCAGTGACAGATCACTATCACTGCTGCGCTATGGACATCATACATAAGAGGGTTTGCCATGACCTTCACGCTCAGTAGACAATTGAGTGATCTCAGTTTGTTGTCTTTTAATGGAATAAGAGGCATACGAGCAGACGGATCACCTGATGGTAATCACCGGCCATGGAGACAAATATTTTTATGTGTAGTCCCTTTGCCGGGTGTCAACACTTGCAACCGTGGTGGTGACTTTTTCTATTCTTTTATCAATACAGAGGACGATTTGCAAATTCAAAAATATTATTTTCTGCAAATATTGCTATTGTCTCATTCAAACTTACTACATATTATCTTGTACTATCAGAATTGAACTTACTACTTGAAAGAGGACTATCCTCTAGAGATCCTAAATAAGCGTAAGGAACTGCAAGAACAATTGATTCAAGAAAAACAACAAGGCAACAAGGCCTACCTCAGCTACGATAAACTTATCATAATTAAAAATAAAGAACAACTTCCTCGTAGTCAAACAAATAAAAGAAACCTGTCTGAATCACCTGAACTAACACATACAAAAAACCAAGTAGTCAAAAGAGACCAAAAGCAGTCTTATAAAAAGAACAAGATATCAAATCTAAGAGATTTTATTATACAAAAACCAAAACCTAACCATATTCCCGTTGTTGATTCTCAGGATCAGCCTGAAAACAAAGAAAATAGCACGCACAATAGTGACAAAAAATAACAATTAACAACGGCCCCTCCTGCCTTTTATCTCCCATTACGGTTGGTCACCGCGGGAGAGTTCGACCAAAACCCTCCAGAAAACTCTACTAATAACAAACACACCAAAATAGATTTATTCCAAGTGGCAACATACAATGTAAGAACTTTATCAACAAGTCACAGACTAATGGAGTTGATGGACTCCTTGAAAGACATAGAATATGACGTAATCGGTCTTTCTGAAATCCGGCGTATAGGCACATCAATTCAAGAGCACAATGATTGTATATTTTGCTATACGGGGGAAACACGAGGACTGTATGGCGTGGGTTTCATCGTTAAGAAGTATCTCAAAAGAAACATCGTCAGTTTCGAAGGATTATCAGAGCGAGTAGCTATTCTAAAACTAAATATAAATGATTTTCAACTAGACATACTACAGGTCTATGCACCAACTGAGGCTTCAAGTGAAGAAGATGTAGAATCTTTCTATAGTACAATTAATAAGGCTCTAAAAAGCTCTGGTAGGAACATTGTGGTTATGGGTGACTTTAACTCAAAAATTGGTCACCCTAGGCCAGAAGAAAACCTTGTAACAAAAAATCATGGATATGGTATAAGGAATGGTAGGGGAGCGCCTGATGGATTTCGCATACGAGAACAAACTGAGCATTATGAATACCTTTTATAAAAAACCTAAAATCAAAGATGGACCTGGAGATCCCCAGATGGAAACACGAAGAATGAAATTGACTACATATTAACAAATCTAGACAAAAAATGTTCTAAATGTACAAGTTTTAAATGTCAACTTCCCCACTGATCACAGACTTTTGAGAGCTTCTTTTATACTACGAAAAGTTAAGAAAAGCCGTACAAAATTCACCAACTGTCTAAGAAATTCATTAAAAAACGAATCCGAAATATCTACATACAAACTATCTCTGGAAAAGCACGAAGACCTACTGCAATATCGAGAGGACGTCACAATACAGGCCAACTACGATAATATAATTCGAGGCTTGGAAAGTAGTCTACAAATACCACAAAATGCAGGAAAAGACACGACTAAACCTAGTGCGATTTCCGCCTACACCAGGAAACTAATGGATAGAAGAAAACAACTACATATTATCAAACCTAAAACAAGATCAGAGAAAAATGAACTAAAAGCACTATATAAACTCATAAGTAAGAACATTAAGAGAGACTACATGCTTCACCGATTGAAAACCATCGAGAAACATATAAAAACTACTGGCAGCATTAAAAAAGCATACAGGGAGCTAAACACTCACAAATTATGGATCAAGGAATTAAAAGAGACTGACAAACTATCACATAACAGGATCGATATTATGAAAACCGCAACAAATTTCTACAAAAAACTATATAATTGTCAAACCTCAAACTCCTCAAATATTTACGATGCCACCAACATCCAGACACAATTACCACAATTACCTGCTAAAAACGGCCCACAAATAAAAACGATAGATGCGATGGAAGTTATAGAAGGAATAAAGAGACTGAAATTAGAAAAATGTCCAGGCCCTGACGGAATTACTAACGAGGCAATAAGAATAGGCTGTAAGCATCTGGTACTTCCTCTGACACATCTCTTCAACTCTATACTAGATTCGGGCATCACGCCTTTTCAATGGTCGGAGTCGAACATGATTCTACTCTACAAGAAAGGAGATCCCACGAATAAAGCAACTATCGCCCTATCAGTCTGTTGCCCACACTCTACAAACTCTTTTCATCGATAATCGAAAAGAGGATCAGTGAGACTCTTGAGGAACACCAACCGATAGAACAAGCTGGTTTTAGGAGGGGATATTCTACAATAGATCACATCCATGCGATAGAACAAATAATCGAGAAATATACTGAATATCAGAAACCACTGTACGTGGTGTTCATCGATTACCAGAAAGCCTTTGACACAATTCGACACTCCTCTATATGGACCGCCCTAAGATCACAAAACGTTGAACAGAAATATATAAAAGTCATAGAATATTTGTACAACAACTGCACAAGTAGAATTAAACTTGAAACAATGGGTCCACGGATACCCATAAAGAGAGGTGTAAGACAAGGCGACCCGCTATCTCCAAAACTTTTTATAGCCGTACTAGAGATGGTCTTCAGCAAACTTAACTGGGATAGAACAGGGCTAAACATTAGCGGCAAGTTTATCAGTCATCTTAGATTTGCCGATGATATTATTCTACTATCCGAGAGTGCTGAGGAGATGGAATCAATGTTACACTCACTAAAAACTATGAGCTACGAAGTAGGCTTGGAAATGAATCTAAATAAAACAAAAATTATGTCCAACAGCAAAAAACACCCGGTATATCTTGATCAAATACCATTAGAATACGTAGACAGTTACATTTATCTAGGCAAACAAGTATCCTTCGGAAAACAAAGTAACGAACTGGAAGTTGAAAGAAGAATCTTAAGCGCATGGAAAAAATTCTGGAGCTTTAAAGAAATATTAAAAGGATCAACGCCTATGAATTTAAAGAAAAAACTGATGGATACATGCCTGCTCCCCTCTATCACCTACGGTTGTCAAACATGGAAATACACCCTAGGCGTAAGAAATAAGATCAGAACCTGCCAAAGATCTATGGAAAGAAGTATTACAAATATTAGAAAAATACAAAAAATCCCACACAATATCATACGGGAAAAGACTAAACTGATAGATGTCCTAAACTTCTCACAAAAGTTAAAATGGCGTTGGGCTGGCCACGTAGCTAGGTTGAGCGATGACCGTTGGACCTACAGACTGACATTATGGCGGGGTCCCAGAGGTATCAGAAAGAGAGGTAGACCTATAACTCGTTGGGATAACGTATTATAAAAATAGCTGGTGAAAAGTGGAAGACAATTGCCAAAGATAGGGATATATGGAAAAGTCTGGAGGAGGCCTTCACCCTCACATAAGAGGGGTTCTTGCATGCTTGCATGATGTTTATTATAATTTATTATATTTTATACACCTTGTAGATTGAATATTCTTGTAATTTGGATTATTATAAATGTCGAAAAATTGAATTTATTATAATTATTTTAAATTTTAAATGTGTAATTAAATTTATATAAAAGTAATTTTAAAATCAATAATGGAATTCATGTAATGATGATTCTCATAACTTTTATAATTATTAATATGGAATATAAATAATTTTACATTAAGAAACCATTATTTAATCATTTTTAATTTTCATGTTTCTTTTGTTATGTTATGTTTTTCATGTTAAGTAATTTTGCAAGAAATAAAAGGCTTTTTATTTTATTTTTATTATTTATTTATTACTATCAGAATGAATGGCAAACCAAAACAGAAAAATTGGGGTCAGAACCTCCACCTTTTCCGAGAAAAGGTCAAGACAAAAAAATAAAACCAAAATAACTTTTGATGACTACTACTGATAGTGATAGCTGCCTTGAAGAATAATGGGACAGTAATTTACAAACAGATAATGATAACCTTCATTTTTGAAGTCGGTTAAAAAGGAGTTTGTATGAACGCAACTCCTGCTGAGCTAACTGAGCCCAGCTTGGTTTTGGAGAAGCGTATGTTCAGCATTATAAGTGTGGGAGGAAATAGGAAGTCTATAGAAATGTGCACCCAGTTTTCGTCATTCAAATCATTAGGATCTTAGTAATGAAGTGGTCGGTAAAAGATAATTTTGTCTTAAGAGAAATATTTGTTTGAACCGTTCTTAATTTTAAAAGGGTTCTCATATCAAAGTTTC